GACGGAGGGCCTGATGGTGGTAGTGACAAGGACAACACCGGCGCCAAAGATAAAAAGAAGAAAAAGAAGAAGCAGAGCCGAAGGAGGAGGAGATCGCCGTCGTCCGATGAGTCGTCATCTTCGTCGTTTGATGATTGCTTTCGACGGAAGCGTCTGCGCCGCCGCCGCCTAGGAAACTCATCTAATCCAACAGGGGATCGGGTACGTGCGAAAGGAGGGCGATCAAATTCACATCTCCATCTCCCGAAGCCCGACCAACACCGCAAGTGTTGCTACCTCTGATAAGCCCGAAGAAGCTTTCCGTTGGATTGAGGAAATCTGTTCGTTCATCTCGATGCAAAGCTGGCCTCGGCGCTCACGAACACCCCGGAAGGTGGCCTCGCGCGGCAGGTCGACATGTTCAAGGAGGAGCAGGCGAAAGAGAAGGGGCGCGAGAGAGGACGCCAAATCCTTCTTGTGATCCTACAAGCAAATCAGCGCAAGCATGGTGCCATCTATGACTTCAAGTTCAACTCATCAACGAAGATTTGAAGAATTCCCTCACTCGTTGGGGTTCCGTCATTCTCAGAACGAGGAACCCCATTGAGGCATTTTTCCACCAGGACAAGAAATATCGGCCCTTGGCTCATGATCTCCATGAGTACGAACAGGGCAAGGAGGGCGCGGAAAAGAGGTCACACAACTTCTTGATGAGCGCTGCAAGAAACCACTGAAAGAGGAAGCGGCTTCTCACTATATGAGAGATGGTATGTCAAAAAGCTGATTGCCCATGGCAGCGCCCGAGCTTGAAGGCTACTCGAGCCCAATCTTCCAACAAGACCACTGGTGGTGGCACGCACAAGAGCTTGCCCCGAGGATACAAAGACAAAACCAAAAACAAGGAGAAGAAGAAAAGCAGGCAATCTTCTCAGAACTCTAAGGACCCCCGACCTCGAAGGGCGCTGCGCTTGCTCCAGGCCATGGTGTGCGCTGCGGCCATGTGTTCGGTTGCCTCGTGCCCTTGCCTGCCCAGTGTGCAATCTTACAATATGCATCCGGCGACACCATGTGTTTCCAAACGCGCAAGATGCTTGGAAGATGTTAGAAAAAAGAGCTATGAAGCATCCGGCGAGTGGCCAATCCTCAGTCCAAAACTACTAGAACGAGTTTCCTGTCAAACTGTCAAAGATGTTCCAAAGCACAACAAGAGTGCGTTGCACGATTCTTAACCTATTGGATCCATGCATCAGCAGATGATTCACGAAATGATGAACGGGTCGAAGGTTGAAAGCGATTCCGATTTCGGCTGTGGTCGCTGCACCCTGCAGGCCCAACGGCCGAGCCGGAAGAACCAAACAACCCGCTACACACTGCGAACTGGTGAAGGCGCTCTTTCTTGGGGCCAGCGTTTCAATCAAGGAAAGTGCTGAGCTCATGTACCGCCCCCCTATGCGCTGCACAAAGTCTGGGTGCGACAGTATGAAGCCCCTAGCATTGTGTAGGTTGATCCGGATGGACGTGGATGAGTCGCAGCTAACAGAGACACCTTCGCCACACAGTTGCTCAACTTGGCTACAGAAAGTCAGTGGCAGCTTGGGCTAGAAATTGCCAATCGTGTTTTGCGTAGCCCAAAGAGCCTGGAGAACCCTACGTGGGCCGGCTCACAAAGTAATCGAAATGTTTGCCACCACACTTTGGCAGGGTGGCTTTTCGCCCAGCCAGTGGTTCTTAGGCCGTGAGTCCAAGCATCCCGGTCTTCTAAGAGACAATGGTGAGCAATCCAATCTCGCCAGCCAGGGCCATGTTCTGAGTGAGCAAAACTTTGCCGAGCGTGCCCTTGTCCAGGAGGATGCAGCCAAAGCCTTCATTGAAGAGCATGCTGAGCGCCCCCCATGATAGGTCCGTACACCGTTGGGCAGCTTGTTTGCGTGTTCCGTAGGAGAAGTCAAGGGCTGCTTTCAACTAGGCACGCTAGGCCCTAGCCAAATCATCGGACCAGGAACTTTCTACAAGAAGATGAAACGCAAAACAGGCACATGGCTAAAGAACTCTGTGAAGGAAGGTTGCAGCAGCCCGACAAAGAGGCAGCAGCGACAGCGACAGCGACACTGACAGCTTCAGCGACAGCGACAGTATCAGCGACAGCTTCATGCTGCTGCAGTTGCAGTTGCAGCTGAAGTTGCAGTTGCTGTTGTTTAGGGCTGGTTTAGAGCTGGCTTAGGACCGGCGCAAGAGGGCACGGGAAGAGCGCTAGAGGAGTACTAGATGCTCTCCGAACATGCAAAACAGACAAAACATGCCGCGGGGTCCCGGGCCCTCCTCTTTTGCTGCTGCTGCCACTGCTGCAGTTACTGCTGTTGCTGTTGCTGTTGCTGTCACTGTCGCTGTGGCTGTCGCTAGCTGCTGCTGCTAACGAACGCAGTTGCAGTTGGAGTTGCAGTTGCTGTTGTTCTTGTTATTGTTCTTGTTATTGTTCTTGTTATTGTTCTTGTTATTGTTCTTGTTGCTGTTGATCTTCTTCGCAGTATTCTTCTTATTCCTGTTGCAGCCACATGAACAGCAACATCAACGGCAGCAGCAACAGCAACAACAGCAACAACAGCAACAGCGACTAAGAACCAGGACAAGAGCAAAAGCAAGAACATCAACAAAAGCAAGAACAGGAAAAACACCAACTGCAGCAGCAACAGCAGCAGCAACAGCAGCAGCAACAGCAGCAGCAACAGCAGCAGCAACAACAGCGACAGCAAGCAAGAAGAAGAATACGAGCAAGAGAAACAAAAACAAACAAAAAAACAACAACAACGACGACGACAACGACGACGACGACAACGACAACGACAACGACAACGACAACGACAACGACAAGAACAAGAACAAGAACAAGAACAAGAACAAGCAACCACAACCACAACCACAACCACAACCACAACCGCAACCGCAACTGCAACCGCAACCGCAACCGCAACCACAACCGCAACCGCAACCGCAACCGCAACCGTAACCGCAACCGCAGCCGCAACCGCAACCGCAGCCGCAACCGCAGCCGCAACCGCAACCGCAGCCGCAACCGCAACCGCAACCGCAACCGCAACCGCAACCGCAACCGCAACCGCAACCGCAACCGCAACCGCAACCGCAACCACAACCACAACCGCAACCGCAGCCACAAGCGCCACCGCACCGCAACCACAACCGCAACCGCAACCGCAACCGCAACCGCAGCCGCAACCCAAACCACAACCACAACCACAACCGCAACCGCAACCGCAGCCGCAACCGCAACCGCAACCCCAACCCCAACCACAACCGCAACCACAACCACAACCACAACCACAACCACAACCGCAACCACAACCACAACCACAACCACAACAACAACAACGACAGTAGCAGCAGCAACAACAACAACAACAACAGCAGCACGCAGGGGGATAACGCAGTGCCCATCATGAGACGCGGGGCCGTTTTCCATCGTAAATATGACTGTTTTCTGTGCTTTCACTGATGAAACATGTGTTTTCAGAAGCCTCGCTTTTTTCAAACAAAGCAGATTTTCCTCACACTCTTCCAGCAAAACGCGTGAATTGGTTTTTGTGTTTTCATACGTTTTTTTGAGCGGGCGTGCTTATTATGTAGCAGGCGTGGATACACTGCTGAGAGATGGCAGGCGTGGATACACTGCTGCGCGGGTGCTCTTGAGCGAGTGTGCTGCCGAGGTGGCAGGCGTGGATATCCTGCTGAGCGGGCGCGCTTGAGCGGGTGTGCTTATTAGGTTTACACTGCTGCGCGGGCGCGCGTGAGCGGGTGAGATTATTAGGTGGCAGGCGTGGACACACTGCTGCGTGGGTGCGCTTGAGTGGGTGTGTTTTATCAGGTGGCAGGCGTGGACACACTACTGAGCGCGTGGGCTTGAGCTGTGCTTATGCGGTGGCAGGCGTGGACACACTGCTGAGCGGCCACACTTGAGCGGGTGTGCTTATTTGGTGGCAGGCGTGGATACACTGCTGAGCGCGTCCGCTTGAGCGGGTGTGCTTATTCGGTGGCGGGCGTGTGCGCAGTGCTGCGACTGCGCGCTTGAGCGCAAGAGTTTTGGCGTGCGTGGACGGCGCCATGCCGCGATTCACCGCAAACACAAGCGCTTTCCGCGTCCGATGCAAGAAATCGCTGGTATTTGCCACACTTTGAGAGTGTCAGAAGCGCCAAGAGAATCCTGCCGCAATTCACTGCAAATACCAGTGCATTCTGCGTCCCACGCATGAAAACGCTGGTATTTGCAGTACTTTGTGACTGTCAGAAGCGCGTCCTTATCTCCCTGCGGAAGAAGCAGCAGCAACAACAACAACAACAACAACAACGACGGCGACGGCGACGGCGACAGCGACAGCGACAGCGACAGCGACAGCGACAGCGACAGCGACAGCGACAGCGACACCAACAACGACAACGACAACGACAACCGCAACCACAACAACAACAACAACAACAACAACAAGAACATGAAAAGAACCAAAAACCGGAACAAGAGCACGAGCAAGAACAAGAACCTAAACCAACCCTAAACCCACCCAAAACCAGCCCAAACCAACCCAGCCCCAAATCTACCCTAAACACACCCCGCTAGACGGCACTGGAGCACTAGAGGAGCACTAGAGCCCAAAACCAGAATAAGGACCTACAAATAGGCAAAAACGGAGAACTACTTACAAGGTCTCGGACCGAAGCCCGCTTACAACCGAGGACTGCAAGGTGCCGCAGCTGTCAAACGAAACAAATCAGTCTTGGTGTTTGGTAGTCAATGTTCACATCGGAGTGGTCAGATCTTGCATAGAGAAAGCATAGTTTGAAGCCGGTGTGATGTGTGTGTGAACCTGCAGACCCCAGCGTCTCCAAGCAACCAATCTGCTGAGTCTGTCATTGAATTGCTCACCGTGACGTGAATCTACGTGCTACGTGATTCAAGTCCTGAACTGTGGCTCAGCAAATGTCGCATCCAGCCCACCAAGCCTGGGACAGTTCAGGCCACGATGGCGCGGACCAGCGCTTCCGAGCGTATCCTGTGGCGCATCGCTCTGCTGCTGAGAATTTGGCCCGCAACTTAGGGAGTTCAGACGTCGAAAGAGACAGACAGCTCATAGACAGGGATAGGCTTAAAAAAACTTTTTAAGGATCGCAAGAAAACCTAGCAGGGGTCAAAAAAACTTATTAGGGATCTCATTCCTATGGGGAGAAGGAAGGAAGGAAGGAAGGAAGGAAGGCAGGCAGGCAGGCAGGCAGGGAGGGAGGGAGGAAGGAAGGAAGGAAGGAAGGAAGCGCCCCCCCCAACCACCCCGCTGATTTGTAAATGTTTGCTGTGATTAACGCACCCTTTGCTGAATCATCGCTTCTTCGATCATCATCACTCTTTGCTGAGGCATCACTTCTTCGAGCATCATGGGGGGGGGTTGCCGCCCCCCCCCAACCCCCCCGCTGATTTTCAGAATGTGTACAGAGAGTAGAGAGTGCCGCACTTTGATGAATCACCACTTCTTTGATCAGCATCATTTTTGTTGAATCATCACTTCTTGGAACATCATGGGGCGTGCTGCCGCCCCCCGCAACCCCCTGCTGACTTGTAGAATGTTTACAGAGCTTAACGCACCCTTTGTTGAATCATCACTTCTTCAGGCGACACAAAATGATTTTTAAGGAGGAAAGTTGTGTTAGTGTTAGCGCACTCTTATTCAATCTGTCATTTTGTTTGGTTGATATTTCCCTTTGAACCCCCAAAAACCCAGAATAGCACACCACCAATCCAAACCACCAATTCAGCTTAACCTGGTTGTCTATGAGGGTGAGGGATCAAAAACCTTTCAGGCATGAACAAAAACTTATTCCTGAAGATCAAAAACTTATGAGGGGTCAAACATTTTTTCTCTTAGATTTCCTATGAAAATGAAAACTCAGAGGATAAAAAAAACTTGTTAGGGATCAAAACAACTTCTTCATTTCGTGGCATTCGCAGCACTTTCGCAAGGTCAGGTACAGACTTCGTGGCAGGCACAGTACTCCGCAAAGTCAGGTGCACATTTTGCGGCAGGCGCAGCACTTTCGCAAGGTACTGTACAGACTTCGCAGCAGGCGCAGATTTCATGGCAGGCAAAGTACTTTCCCAAGGTCAGGTACAGAGTTCGTGGCAGGTGCAGCACTTTCGCATCGCGGCAGGCGCAGCACTTTCGCAAGGTGCGGATTTTCGCGGCAGGCGCAGCGCTTTCGCAGGGGGGTTGGGGGAGGCGGCCCCCCCCATGATGCTCGAAGATGTGATGATTCAACAAAGGGTGCGTTCATCTCTGTAAACATTCTACAAATCAGCAGGGGGTTGCGGGGGGCGGCTGCACGCCCCATGATGTTCGAAGAAGTGATGATTCAACAAACATGATGCTGATCGAAGAAGTGATGATTCATCAAAGGGTGCGGTACTCTACTCTCTGTATACATTCTGAAAATCAGCGGGGAGGTTGGATGGGGGCGGCAGCCCCCCCCATGATGTGCGAAGAAGTGATGCTTCAACAAAGGGTGATGACGATTGAAGAATGTTCGAAGAAGTGAGGCTTAAATCAATGACTGCACCCGCATGAATGTCTCAAGGAGGACTCAGGCAGCAAGTTGCCATTCGGGGAAGAGCTTTCCTTGACCCAACCGCCGGATGGCACCATGGCATCGCAACATTTTCTTTTTTCCAGGCGCTGAACAATGGCATTTCTGATGTGGCTGGAGCAGCGGTGAAGGGGTGGATCAATTCCCCAGGCCATGAGAGGCCTGTCTCTGTGCGTCATTCTGTCATTCCATTCCAGTCATGGTCTTTGCACATGTCAGCCGTAGGAATCTGAGTGGTCAATTCAAGCTTTGCGGCATTGGGGTCGCACGTGCTTCCAACGGAACATTTTATTTGACCCAGCTCTTTGCTGCGTGAGACTCGCTGTGGAAACTCTCGGATCTGCGGATCGATTCGTTTTTTGCATGAACTACAGGAAGAGCCTTGTGCCAAGCACCACAGACAGTTTTGGCAGCGTACTGGGAAGCTCCAAGAGAATCCCCAGTTTACTGCTGGCTTTTGCACGATTGCCAGCCACCTTTGCCTGTGTGTTGTACAGCTCAAGGCAGGTGCAATGGGCAACAGCCGCCACCATTGGCTAGACCAGCGGCTTGCTGCGCCTTGCGGGGCAGTGCGCTGAATTTGCTTTGCAGCTTGACAGATCTTGACAGGGTGTGCAGCGCGAGAAGATCGAGGCAATGAAAGCTGAGGGAAGGGAGGAGGCGAGAGCTGAGCTGATGGAAGGTAGACCCTTGAGTCGACAGATCCACAGATGTCTTGCAGGCAGACATCAAGAAGCAGATGGAGGTGCTAAATGCGGGTGCCTGGATGTCAGACTTGGAGAAGCAAGATTCTGAAGCTCAGGACACCCTGACGGTCATTCCAGATTCAAGACATCGACTCCAGAAGTGGACCCGAGTCAGCGTGTCCTTCGCGAGTCTTAAAGGCGGACGCGGTGCCAGGTACGCCACAGAGCTGAGAGACTTCTTGGAATCGGACCACCAGGACCTGTGGGATCCTGTGCTGGGATTCGGTTCGGGTCGAAGCTGGGCTTTGACTTGCAGGATGTGAGCCTAGCTGACGCAGACCCCGAGGCGCGGTTTATCAGAAGTGTTTCTTTTTCGCGTTTGCTTGCTCAGGTCCAGGCTGTGCTAGAAGGGCGCCAAGTGCTGAGGTCGGCCTTTGGCCTCAATCTTAACGTTTGCGACTGACCTTGTCAGGGAAGTCGACCTTGCCTTGGGCACGTTGACGGTGGAGGACGTGTATCGGTCGTGTGCTGTACTTGCGATGCGTGTTGCTCAGGAGCCAATGCAAGACGTCGCTGCTGGCACAGGGGAAGCCCCAGACGTGGGCGACTTCTAAGCTAAGTTCCGTGCGGTTAAAAATGGGGATGGAGATGGATGGAGGCTCTTTCTGACGGTCTTGCATGGCCTTGGCTGCAGCGTTCTCCCAGCTCTAATGTAGACCTTCCGGCTTCGGGCGCCATGCGACTGATACTGGCATGCTGGCTGGTGGCGACAGCGGTGAAGACGAAGACTGAGGCTCGGCTTCACTTCCTGGCTCCGAACCGTCCCAACGCGCCAACGCGTCGAGAGGACTTTGTGGTACTGACGATGCTCAGCTCGGGGCCCACCTTGGTGAACGTGAACAACCCCAAGGGCACGGACCTCCAACACGTGGACCTGGCGGTGGGCCAGATGGACTTCCACGAGCTCTTCGCCAACTGGTACGCCTTTCTGCCTCCCAGCGCCAAGGCATAGTCGTCCATAGCGTTGGAATATGAATAGGTTGACTTTGGTTCCTTGCCAGGAGAAGCTTCACGTGCTGTGCCTGGACGATGCCTCTCTGCAGTTTGCACGAAGCCTGGCACCCCATGCCGACGTCAGCGTCGCACAGCAGGGGCCGCCCTTCCGGGCGCGCCTGGAATCTTGGGCTCGGAAGCCAAAGGTGTCCCATTTTTCGGTTTTTCAGATCGGTTTTGCTTCTGTTGCCACGAGGAATTCATCCGGAAGCTGCTGGGTCAGGGGAAGACGGTGCTACAGTCCGACGTTGACGCAGCTTGCCAGGGAACGAAGCCTCAGTAGCAGGATCTCAAGTTGTTACGTGCTGCAATGCTCGGCACGGCAAGAAGAAACAAATTAAATGGCCAGGAGAGACATGCGCAGCCCACGCAGCAAGACTCAGAACGCTCGTGATTTGTTTTTCTCCTCTTTCTGGGTCGCTTCCCAAGGCTGTGTGGCTCCAGGACCCTTTGCCCTACTTGCGGAAGGTGCCGGAGCATTTGGTGGCCATGAGAGAGTTCACGGACTGGTCGCGTGGGTGAATAGTCCGGGTGGTTGTCCCAATGAATAACATGTCTAGCTCTGGGGCTGCGCCCAACACCTGCTGCGCTGCCAGCCCCAGCCGCTGCAGGCATCCCCGGCATCACCTGCAACCGCTTGCGTCCCGAGTGTTTGTGGCGCCACCAAAAGTCCGGATTTCTGCACTGCAGCTGCCGCCCCAGATGCGCATCGGAGCAATAAGCGCCGTTTCTTGGTTGAAGAAATGTTTCCCTTTTGGGGTTGGACACGCGGCGTGTCCACCCTGGTAAAAGCGAGCCGTTTTGCATTGCTAGGCCCGAGCGGTTCGCAGCCCTAGTAGACAGTAGTGGTCCGGCCTTACTTCCGACGCGCAAGACAAGAGCGACACCTGCAGCGAAATCACTGCTTGTGAACACGCAGATAACCGCCAGCTGAAACAATACGAAGAATGTCGCCACCACCGCAGGTGACACAATGTCCTTAAGCACCGGCGATGCTGGGGGTGACCAGCCTTCCCGTGCGCCTCAGCCTTGCAGACGAGGGGTCGGCGGACTTGCATCTAGAAATGTAATTCATGTGAATGCGATCGCCTTTTCACGAACTGATGAACCAGTTTAACAACAGCGTTTGAAATGTTCGATCGTTGGGGGGTTGTGACCTTGTTTCACCAGAACACCCTCGCCCCTTTTGTGATCCACAATTACTTGTTCGCTTGAGATGCACTTTAAGTTTGTATGTTTGAATCGCGTTTTTCTCTGTCACTTATCTGCTTGAAGTTCGCACAGCTGGGCTCTTGCGCAGGGCTGATGCAGTGCATGCCCAGATGGCAATGGCTGAGATGGAAAGCTGAGGCACGAACCCAACGCCGGCTTCATCCTGTACCGACCGCAGCTTCTGGAAAAGTTTCTCCCAGCCTGGTCACAGGCCATGGGCGCCAGCAGTGATGACAACACGCCCATGCGGGCGATGTTCCAAACAGCAACGTGGAGACCTGACTTGCCTGACACTTCCTCCTCAGGCGTGAGTTAGGGCGCGTTTTCAGTCGATCCCCGCAAAGCGTTGATCCGATGAAGAATCTATTGCACCATATTGAATTTGCCTCAACATTGAGGCGAGCTTTTGGGCGTCACCCTGCGGTTGCTGCCGCTGCATCTATTCGCTCGAGTAGCGGCTGCCACCAGCGAATGCACTGGGGCCGGTGCCTTGGCAGCCTCTCACAGTTCCGAGTCCGAAGCAACGAGCTGTTGACGGTCTGACGCATGGACTGGACCGCCTCTCCGAGGAATGATTCACAACCAGGCAAACTTTCAGAAGCAGCTGCAACTTGGTGCGACAGAGAAACTGACTCGCAGTCCGCTAAAGGAATGGGCGATCGGCGATCCCGGACAATGTGTTTGAAGAACTCCTTGACCCATTCCCAAGGTGCTGACACTAAGGCCCTGCATTGGCGAGCAGCTTTTGGTCTTACACAACAAGGGCGAGATCTTTCGAGCCAAGCAATCGAAGTCAGAGCACAGACTGTGGAGAATGTGAGCTCTGCAAGCCAATCAGGCCTGCGCATGAGAGCTTCACTAGCGAAGGTGGTGCGCTGGCTTGAGCGCAGGTGCAACGGCCGCACCAAGGCCCCAATTCCCGTAATTCCTTACAACGCGGCTTGTTCATGGTACTTGCTGCTCACACATGTGCTTGTACGTCTGCCAATCACTATGCACACACGTTCGTCAACCCACTCATCCAAAAGACAGACCCACGGATGGTCAGATGTGCGAAGCTCTGCCGGAATCCGTAGCTCGGCTGCCCCTCAGACTTGTTGTTTGTTATTTCGATCAACCGCAATGCATCATGCTGCATTGAGCCGCCATCCCATCTGTTTGATTCCCCAGCCCATTTCGATTACCGTTAACTTCAACTCGATGCACACAGGTCCGTCAAGGAGTTCCTCAACTGAATGAGTGAGTGAGTGAGCGCTTGAGCCGATGTGAAGGCTGTGTAGAAATGGATCGGTGGATGGCGGGAGGAGTGAGTGGATGAGGGAGAGAGCGAAGAAGAGAGGGAGAGGGAGAGGGAGAAGGCAAAGAGAGACGGGAGTAGAGAGCAAGCAGGAGAGAGCCGTTTGCGGCTAATATTTCCGCTCCTTTGTAGTTGCAAATGTTGGATTCTGTCTGGAAATCGGGAGACAGCCCTCCGTGCATGCAGAAGATCTGACCAACAAACCAGGCAGTAATGTATAGGTTCATGGGCTTGACACTGTTGTGTTGTGAGGAGGCTGGCTCGCCGCGAAAGTGAGACTCTCTGGTTGACAGACAGTATCTCTCTCTCTCTCTCGTTAAAATCGGACTGGGGTTTACTACAAGTGCAAGTGCTGTAGTTGTGTTAACACAAACAAACCTGTAGTCTCCGCAGCTCCATGCAGCTCCTGTGTTGCATGGGCTCGTGATGTAGTGAAAGCTCAAGGCCTGCGGTCATGCACAAGCTATGTAGTACAACACCGCATGTACGTTGACAGGGTCCCTCAGTTGAAAAGATCTTGTAGTATCTTTTCAACTGAAGTGGAAATGTCAGTATTGACAGTAGTGGTGAAAGCAGATGTTGTTCATCAATGCTACTGTAGTGAAAAGGAAAAGAAGTGTAGTCCTCAGTAGCTCTCGCTGTCCGGGTTCAGTCCCAAATGTAGTCGGAGCATCGTGTAGCACGCTCGACCGTGCTGTCGTTGTAGTGTAGGCTGTAGGGCTGTTGTAGCTGTTGGGTGTTGAGTGGTAGGTAGGTGGTAGTCCCAAATGTAGCCGTTGGACAGGTGTAGTGCAGTGCGAAGTCGTTGAAGTTGCAGCTGTAAACCCTTGGATTGAAGAGGAGTGGCTGAGGTAGTCCCTGACGAAATAGCCGAGGGAGTTGTCTTTGAGTAGTTGTTGGACGTAGTCTGCGGGAAGTGAGATTGTTTGACAAGGATGTGGTCGTTGATGTGGTTGGTCGTTGCGTGTAGTTCTTTCAAGCTGTAGTGGCGCCACAGATGAGCATCTGCAAGCAGAATGCATCATCTGCAGTCGGTTGTAAGCTGGTTCAGGAGAAAAGGTGTAGCTGGCTCTGCAGAGGTTGTGGTGTAGAAGAGGTTGATTGTAGTGGCATCATCTTGTCCTGAAGTGAGAAAGCAGCAGTTCTTCAGGGGAGATTAGAACTTGGTGTATTGAAGTGAAGTTGGTAGCGCAGGCCTGGCTCGTAGTAGGATGGTCTTGTTGATGTGGAGGTTGAAGTTGTAGAGGTCCTGTACATGTGCGTTGAGTGGCAGTGGGGTTGCCGTGGTCTGTAGCGGTAGGTCATGACGCGCCTGCAGCAGTTGGGTTGGTGTAGTCGGTAGTCACGAAGCGACCTTTGGCTGTAGTGACCTCAAAGTGAAGTGAAACTGAATTGCAAAATGAGCCTGTAGTTGGTCACAGGAAACAGGCAGACACGCAAAAAACAATCAAGTAGTGTTGACTGAAGCCGCCAAGCATGCCGCCAAAAGTGCACGTGACGCTACATGTAGTTACTGTTGCTTACATACCGAATGTGACATGTTACATGAAGCTACATACTAAATGTTTGATGTTGTCTTTGTCGTTGTCGTTGTCGTGGTGATTGTGGTTGTGGTTGTGGTTGTGGTTGTGGTTGTGGTTGTGGTTGTTGTGGTTGTGGTTGTTGCTGTTGCTGTTGCTGTTGCTGTTGCTGTTGCTGTTGTTGTTGTTGTTGTTGTTGGTGGTGGTGGTGGCGGTTGTTGTTGTTGTTGTTGTTGTTGTTGTTGTTGTTGTTGTTGTCGTTGTTGTCGTTGTTGTTGGTGGTGGTGGCGGTTGTTGTTGTTGTTGTTGTTGTTGTTGTTGTTGTCGTTGCTGTCGTTGTTGTCGTTGTTGTCGTTGTTGTCGTTGTTGTTGTTGTTGTTGTCGTTGTTGTGGTGGTGGTGGTGGCGGTTGTTGTTGTCGTTGTTGCTGTTGTTGTTGTTGTTGTTGTTGTTGTTGTTGTTGTTGTTGTTGTTGTTGTTGTTGTCGTTGTCGTTGTCGTTGTCGTTGTCGTTGTCGTTGTCGTTGTCGTTGTCGTTGTCGTTGTGGATGTGGTTGTGGTTGTGGTTGTTGTTGTTGTTGTTGTTGTTGTCGTTGTTGTGAAACAGTTGCGATGGTCGTTCGTGGTGCTAAATGCGTATCCCAATGCTCTGAATGAGCCGGTGTAGTTTTGCCTTGCTGATGTATTTTGTGAACAACACGTCGCTGTTGTGAAGTATGTTGATCCTGAGGATTCTGGTGATGTCGTGTTTGACGAGGTCTTGTGTGTAGAGGACTTTGAGGTCACTGTGTTTTGCTCGTTTGCTTGTGCCTTGTCGTGTAGCAATACTTTTGCCTGCTGTGGAGAGTCTGTGTGAATGCGTAGGTTTAGCTGGCTGCAAATGATTGTTTCGAGTAGGAAGTTTCTGAGGTGTAGCCCCTCATTAACTCCTGTGCCAACTGCGTAGAGCTCAGGTTCTGATGAACTGAGTGCTATTGTAATGGCTTGTGTTCTGCTGCCAAATGCATCTGTTGCTCCAAGAAAGATAATGCTGAAACCTGAAGTTGATTTCCTGGTAGTAGGGCATCCTGCCCAGTCAGCATCGACATGAACGTCGAGACCCAGGATGTTGTCGGTGTTAGGTCTTAGTGTTGTCGTTGGTTCTATGGTGAACTTGTAGTGTTTGGTGCCGCGCAGGTAGCGTAGTACGTGCTTGACTCTCTTCTGTGAAAGTTCTGTAGGCGCCGTGAGGTCTCCTGCTAGTTCTTTTTTTGCGTAGGCTACGTCTGGTCTGGTGTGTGCTAACCCTTGGAGTTTACCAGCAATTCTTCTGTGCCTCACGTGCTGTTCGTGGTCGAGTCGCACTTCATCCTCTATTTTTTGGTTTGTCGTGGGCGATTCCTGGAGTGGTCGCCGTGGTGCAGTTGGTCACTCAGTAATTGCTGAAGCGCGAGCAGCACCTGCTTCTGGATGGCCTCGAAGATGGAGTCGACAGTAGTCTTGTCGCCAGGTACCATCAGGTCGTCCACGTATACCATGATGTACAGTCACGAGCTGCGTTGGTAAAGACATTGCATGGGTTGTAACTTTAGTCTTACATCGCTAAGCTTTTGTAGTACTTCAGCCAGGTACCAGTTTGGTCGTGACATCTGTAGTGCAAGAACTGTCCGTAGCATCGTGAACATCGGTGCAGAAGCGTAGACGGATCTTCTCAGTGTAGACTTTTGCGACGATTCTACTTTGCACGCCTGTTCCTTTCTTTCTGTGTACCCACCTTGCAGGGGTTGCATCTTTGATGACGTTGTCGCCGACTGTAGACGCATCTACTTCGTCGTAGACGTCATGTAATTTCATATGGTTTCAGTAGTATTTCATTCCTTGCAGTAGTTGCGCTTCGTCGTAACCTGTGTTGTCGCAGATTATGTGTTGGTCTTCTGAGGTGTCGTCGTTTGTGTAGGAAGTGATGGATGTTCCGTCGGACAGTGTTACTGCGTTAATCCTTTGTCGTAGTGGTTGAGGTTCTGCAGCTGCTTTTTCCGGCGATCTGATGGTAGCGTCCTTTGAGCTGGTTGCATAACTTCTTCCGGAGTCATGCGTCGTAGTCTTTGTTGATGTGGTGGTGCTGGTAGTGGTGGATGTTGTCGTCTGGTCGGTGAAGTGGCCATGGGGCTATCCGGTAGCGGTCGTGAACTTGACATCGCGGTCGACAGAAGTTGTAGAGGTGACGTAGTGCGTTGTTGTTTCGTTGCGGGATCCGTGACAATGTCGTCCGTCACGTTCGTTTGTTGTCCAGCGTCTTGTGTAGATCGTTTCTTTTCTGACGATAGGAGTTGCGTGTCCAACAGTGTTGCGAATGACGGGTTGTCGGTGTTCCGTCGTGGGGCCCAAGGTGTGCCGGAAACTTTGTTTAGTAACGCGAGGTCGTACTTGAATTTCTGTTGTAGTCTCCGTACTGTTCTCGCTTTCAGTGCGCCCTGTTCTGTTGCAACGTGGTTTTCTCTGGTTTCGGAAACTTTTCTGAGCCAAATGCATCTTTGCATTCGTAGGTCTGCTTCTGGAAGTTTTTCTTGTGTTGTGGTAAAGTAGTGTTTCGCCAAATTCGCAAATTGCTCGCTCATAGTTTCTTCCCCAACGCCGTTCGAAGCTTGTGTAGCCGTCAGAGTGGATGACGTGGCGATATACCGTCCACGCTGCGTGTCGTACTATCCAAGGAAGACAGTGCTTTGTGGGCATTGTCATGCTGTAGTTGCTTTGGGCTTTCAACTTGTGCTTTGACAACGCGTACTTGTCCAAGAAGTGTTCTGTGTACTCGTTCAATGCTTCCTTGACTGTTACTGCTGTAGGAAGGTGCATGTCGAACAGTTGTGAGCCAACCTGGGCTGTGGTTGATTTTAGAAGTGCGTTGAGTGTGTCCTCGTTGTCGCTTTGTGGTATGCCCGAACCCGGAGATGCTTGTAGGTTGTTGCTCATGTAGTCCATCATTGATGGTTTGTCCGTGTTACGACTGGTATGGTCATTGGATTTTGTTGTGATTGATGCAAGCGAAATCTACTTGGATGACGGGTTGTCGTGCTTGTTGTTTCTTGTGATTGTCTTGGCGTCCTTTGCCTGGCACGCAAATTGGACACCAATTTCTGTATGGAAGGTGTGTTAAGTTGTGTGACCAGCGATTTGTTGTGGAGTTGGTTGTTGCGGTTGTCGTAGTCCTTGCTCTGTGTGCTTCATGGTGTTCGTGTTGTTGCTCCTCGTCGTAGTTCTCCTGGAGGTATTCGTCGTCTTTCTTTATGGTGAACCTCGTTGTGCCTTTCCATTGGCATGGTAGTGCTGCATTGCCACTGACTGTCCAGTCATCTTTGCGTTGTGAAACTTCTCCAGAGTTGCTGTTGGTGATTGTGGTTCTGTGAGGTTCGAACGTGTTGATTGGTGGATGTCCTGGTCCATCTGTGGGGGTGAAGCATGTAGTTCTAAGTGATACGTGGTGTCTCATCCAGTGTTCACCTGGTCTTTCCAGTTGTCTTGGTTGTCTTCTTGTGC